GTCGGTGCTGCAGAGTGAAGGCTCGTTACAAGTTGAATACAAGGGAGAAGACGGACTGCAACAGCAGCAGCAGCAGCAGCAGCAGCAGCACGCTGAGGCGCCGCATGCAGAGAGTGCAACACAGCCTCCAGTGCAGCAGGCACTCGAACCGACAGGAAACGAAACCGCTGCAGCACCAGCAGCAGCAGCAGCAGCACCAGCAGCAGCAGCAGCAGCAGCAGCGCATGCAGAGAGCGGCGGGTGTGGAGTGCAGTGGCAATGGCCATACAACAGCAGCAGCAGCAGCTGGCACTCCTCTGAATACCCCGCCGCTGCTTTTGAACTGTCGGCTATGAGCCAAGCAACCGACGAAAAACAAACAAAAAAACAAACAGAAAAACAAACAGAAAATTTACAGCCTTCGGGCGCCGATGCTGCTGAAACAGCGCCAGTCTAAGCCGTGCGTTTCTCTGTGACGAAGGAAAGCTACGAAATTCATAAACGATGCAAATTGTATGAAGTGAATTTATTGCATTATATATATATATATAAATATATAAATATATAAATATATATATATATATATATATATATATATATATATACACTATATACATTGTACTATGAGAACGCTACAGTTGTACGTAAGCTGAAAGCTTCTGAAATTAGCGCTTTCCGTGACGGGAAAGCAGAAAGTTGCAAATTGCAAGCGCATGGGGTGTACAGACACCGCGCGCGGGGAGTGGAAAGCTGTAGAAAACACACGGAAAGCTGCAGGTTTCTGAGGTATTTCTGCTGGTAAAGTAATGGAAAAACTTTATGAATGGAGTTTATGATGAAATCACTGCTGTTTTCTGCAACAGTTCTGCTGCAGGAGTGCATCTTTTGCTGCGCTTACCGCATACATACAACGAACGAAGCAGCAGTCTATCGCCTTCTAGGGCACCCAGCATTGGAATCTTTAACCCATTTAGCTCAACAAATAAACCTTCTTGATGCTGCAGCACCCTGTATGCTTCGTGCTGCAAAAGAAAAAGAAAAAACTGAAGAAATCCTCGCCGCTGTTGAGGCGCTACGCAGTCGTTCAACTTTGCTGAAACCAATCATCAGAGATGTGAGCAGCGTCGAGTTTTTTCGTTTTTTTTTTTTTGTTTCCTTTGCCTGAATGTAATTTATTTTGTTTTAAATAATATTTTTATTATAAATAATTCTGTGATCCCCAGATTGTGCTGGTACTAACGAAGAAACCAGCAACAGAGGGAGAAGAGGATGATGAACATGCAATACATTTGCAAGAAAAAGCTGAACACGTACACGACTCGGTTGCCCAGGTACATTCAACTTTTTTTTTTGTTTTTCTTTGCGTTTCGTCTGAATACACTTCATTTCAATTCAACTTTTTCAACTTGCAG